GATCTGTACCCATGAAAGAATCTGTTACTCTCAGTAAAAGCAAGGGTGCTATTTTATTAAAGGGTAATGGAATTTGGGCTTCGGAATTGAGATTAGGCTGCACAGCATCTAGATGTGTGGGAAACCGATTCCCCCTCCCTCCCCCCCCATGTGATAAAGAGGAGGAGTCACAAAACAAGTGTTGAGCTAGAAATAAATCATTTATTTTAAAACAATACAGGTTAATAAATAGATTAGTTATCAGAAAACTTAATAAATAGCCTTTTATAATTTACACAAGGCAAATACAACATGCCTATAACTATTTCTTAAAAAGCAAAGAGAGTAAGCTTGACTTGTAAGCCATTAACAAATCTATATGTACATTATTTGGAAGCTAATAAAATAAACCATTTTTATGTAATCTGTAGTAACTATATTGCAATAACATTGAAGCTGTATATTTGTTGCTGTCCACCTTTTCCCCATATCCCATTAGGACTATTTTTTACATTCCAGGAAACAAAAAAGTTTAAAAAAAAAAAAAGAAAAAGAAAAAGGAGAACGTTCCACAGTTGAAAAAGGATTTAACTTAAAAATACCCCTTTTGTGTAATACTTTCCACTCTGTAGAGCAATTGTCTGGGGGTAAGGGGTGGGGAGGGAACCACAACAAAAAACAATTGAAAAAATTATTTGCAGCTTTTAAAAAAGATTTCTTAATCCATAATATTTCAACACTACTGTCTGAAACACTTGGGCACTAGTAATAATAACTGTTGACATCATTGGTGCCTAACATGGTACACACTAAAATTCTGCATCACTTACGCCCATATTCAGTAGCACCAAAGAGTTATTACAAAGACTAATCTCTGTAAAGAAAAGATAACAGGTAATAGATAAACATTTGATAACATTTGATTTAACAGTAAAATTTCAGCAGTTGCACTATCTCAAGACAACTGCGGAAGATCTGTAGAATCCTTGATGGTTTATATTTATGAAACAAGAAGGTGAGAGGGGTATAATGTGCAAAGAATGGCCCATTTTAAGCACCCCATATTTAATAACCCCAAATCTTCCTTCAACTACAACCCCCCCTATTTTTTAAATAAAAAGGAAAAGTAAACCACAGATTCTAGTATTTCAACAAATAAAATCCAGTGTTTTCATTTTTCAGTGCTAGTTACTTCAGAAAAATACGTATGTTTATATAAACTGAGATTATTAATAGGAAGCCTCACCTGTCAAACTGTGATATGACAGGTTATTATTAATATTAGTTGCAGCTCACTGATAAATAGGCTCTATTTACACATACAGAGTCCTGGAAAGTCAATACAGCAGATAACTTGTTTAGATTTTTTCTTTTTTACATAAGTAAGTAAGGTGTAACAAATTTTTTTTTGGTTGTATCAAAAAGGTTTCTATTCTCCTACTGAACATTTGAGGGATTTTTGTGTTTGACACCTAATAAAGATCGTGACTGATACATGTAAATCCTCCATACACTGAAGGGATAATGATCAAAGAGCTACCTTCAAGTGAGTACCAAGTAAATATGTTTGACAAGTATTAATAGGAGCCAGACATACGGAGGGAAATGTCTTTCACATGGATTTGAATTTAATTCAAATGCATCCCACCACTGTAATGAGTCCACTTTTTGTATGTATAGCCTCTCCCACTTCTACTTTGGAATCGGAACTGTGAAGTCATCTGGCTCGTAGCTATCGATAGACGTAACGCAAAGAGAACGTGAAAAGGTCAGACCTGTGAGGGACACCAAAGCTCAGGAGACAACTATGCACATTTGCTCCCTGAGATGATGGAACTCGGATATCTGTCTTATTCAAAGTGCTTACTTGTCAAAGGGATGAAAAAAAAGAGGGAATGGCTAAAATTCAACAATGTCTCCTTTTAAATCAGAAAAGCAATGGGACTAAAAGGTAGGGCACCTAGAACGAGGAGGGTGTGGGATGGAAGGGAGAAAAATCATACCAACAGTGACAACAGAAAATGCTAATACATTTCTAAAATTAGAACCGAACCAGATCCAGGTACAGCAGAACTCAAAAGAACACTGCTGCATACTGAACAAAGTAGCAAAAATAAATGTTTCCATTATTTAGCATTCATGATGTAAAAGGCTGCAGATATAAATGATGTGCAAGGCCACGAGAATTTCTTTCACCTTATGTGCTGGCTTTTGACATCTCTGTTTTAAACAGCAAGGTTAACTAGACATTTCTAGAAAGCTCATCACAGATGAGGAGCAGCTGGGGAGAAGAGAAGAAACCTATGCAGACATTTATCAGCTGTAAGGATGGTCAGAGGACCACAGAACACGGCTGCTACTTTATTCTTACTCTGCATAGTGAGTGCTTATCCAGTAAACTTGTGTGTGTGGTGCAGAAAATGGCAAGGTTTAGACAGGGCAGTCAAGTTATTTTGGACCTAATATTCACTAATAATTTGCATACGCATCTAACCTACTAGGATAGGCACTTTCTAAAAAAAATAGGAATGAATTTTAAAACAAAACAAGACAAAAAAATATGGCCAAAGGAGGACTAAGATGGGACCACAATCATTTCCATTCTGACCTAAAGATTTTCACAGAAGTCTTCAGAGATTAAAGGCTAGTACAAAACCAACATGCAACTCATGAACTCTGAATTTGAATTTTGAAGAGACAGCTTGACTGCTTCAGAAAACAGCTAAATTGTTTTAAAAAGTAGGTCACTATAGATCTCATAACCTATGTACAATTCCAGTTTCAATCAGAAAAAAGGGAATTAATATGTCAAAACATAACTGTCTGCTGAGAACCAAGATACCATCTTCCAATCAATAATGGACAGAGGTTAGTTTTAACCAGCTTTCATAGTCCAATTCCCCTCATCTACATTCTACAACTTTCTAGAAACGATACACAATATTTGAAAATCCATGAAGATGGCCTCTTCTCTGCTAGCGCTATTTTATTTCACCAAGATACCCAGTTTCCCTGCTGGCCTCTAACAACCTACGTTTCTGCCAACTCAGAGTCATTCCCCCCCAGTCTGGAGTTATAAAACAAGCTTCCAGACGATATAGTGGGGCTCTTACTCCCTCAGAACCGTCTCTTCAGAATACTAAATCTTTAGAATTCACTGTTCAAGATTATTGCTGCCATCAGAAGGGCTTATAACACACCTTTTAAATGAAAATGGAGGCTGAGTTTTAAGGTAACATTAATTCAGGTCAACAAAAAACATCATGAGAGTGGACAGTATTACTCCCCATTAATCAACATCCACATTCCTGTCAGCCAGCCACAAAGCTACATTCATGATTTCTTGATAAAGTGTCATGAACTTTTTCAAGTACTGGCTTGTAATCACGTTGGGGTTTTTTGTTTGTTTCAAGAGATGTTCTGAACTAGAGATGTTGAGTTCCACTGCACCCTTCCATTTTTGTACTGAAATGGAAACAAACATTCATTACTTTTCCAGCTTTCCTTACAAGTTTTTGACTCGTGATGTTTTAACTACCAAATACAAGTAGAACATGAAAATTAACTATTTCTTTCTTTGACATATCAATACTCTCTAAATGGTTTAAACTGAACAGTTCAGAATCATTCCAATCATAGCTTAAGCTATCTGTCCTACTTGTCAAAATATTATGGCTGAACTGTTCACACAGGTCTGTAAATTACTGGATCTGGATGTATATCCCTGTTGGTTATCTGAAACTCAGCTCTCTGAATACCTATGCTTTTTCAGTCTGTAACCTCCTCCTCCCATGTTACAAAAGGATCAGACCATCTTTTTTTGAGCTATGAGAAATCTCATGCTCTTCCCTCTCAAGTTTTTTGTGGTCCCTCCTTATTAGCTACTTCACAAAATGGTTTCCTGTATTTAGTCACTTAACTAAAGTAAAGGTATGCTGGACTGCTTTAAACAGTCCTCCCGTAGATTACCTCTTCCCATTAGGACTATGTTTTTCAGAAGCTGTCAAGGCATCTAAGGGTTTCAGTTCAGGTTTGTGAATTCTTCCAAAAACGTGTGGCTCCTTCTGGATGCTTTATGTGTTTAGAATTTGAATACAGTCCAGTATTATAGACAGTGAAATTGAATTATTAAACCAGTGTAGGCCACCTGAAACAAATACATTCACATTTATGCAGTATTTTTGGATTACAAAGGCACTGAAATAGTTCTGAGCTGCTTACAAATAAGCCACCATATAGGCAATGAGTCTGTGCATCATTTCCACATCCTTCACAGTCTTTCTGTCTGCTCTCAATTAAAAACTTTCAGATGAATGCGGTATGTCTTAATGCACATAAGTTACAAAGAAAAATGCACACCTGGACACTACCATCAGCTGATGAGTAATTAGTGAAAGATTTTTAAGGGTCCACTGCTCTGTATAAAGAATTCAATTTAAAACTCCCCAGTGTCTTCACCGCATGGCAGACCAAGTTGCCGAGACAGTCACTAAAAAGGACAAATCTGCAGTCCATGGTTCAACCAACATTTGTCTCAGAATTCACAGCCTTGACGGTGAACACATTGCTATATTGAGATTAACAAATTGTTCCACTCACTTTTCTCCCCCCATATTTTAAGGTGTACATCACTCATGAATGGTGTCAGATTGAGTGCATTAGAAACTGATGTTCTCTGCCCACAGAAACGGTACCTCAGAAGCCACAATACAAGCTTTCATACACAGGTCTGTCAGAATATCTCCAGATCTTTTCTGATGGATTACCTTTTACAGTAAGAAAATACATCGGTCTCTATGCTGACTCAATCAGTGGTTCCAATTAAGGTCATTTATTGTGTTGACTGGGGTAGATGGATAACTGTTCCTTTGAAACTGGATGGAGGCCTCCAATTCATTTCACGTAGGCCACCAAATCGTCAGAGGGTAACTACCAACCTGAATCATATTTGAATCAGTGACCTGGAAATGAAAGGCGCTGCATCCTTCCCTGAGCCATCCAGTTTCCCCTCAAAAAATATTTTAATCTGTCTTCATGTTAGGTTTATTTAAATCCCCGATATTGAAGTTGAATTCCTTGAAGACTTGTATAAGAACAATTCCAATAGATACTGTGGTGAATCCACAAGCCATTCCCAAGAAATCTACCACTCCTACATTACTCCATTCCCTGAAAAGGATGGCTGAAGCCAGCAGGACCAGGGTGGTAAACACAACGTAGTAGATGGCACCAAACACAGAGGAGTCGAAACATTCCAGTGCCTTATTGATGTATCTGAACTGAATGATAATGCTACATCCTAATACTGCCAGAAGTACCAGGCAGAGGTACAGAGCCCTTTGACTCGAGGGGTTATTGTGAAAGATATCTTGAGCAGCCAGCCCAATGCCTTTTGTGCTGGGAACAGTGAAACTGCCCAACAGAGAGCAAATACTGATGTAAACCATGATATTAGTAGGTCCATGAGCTGGAGCTATCCAGAAGATAAGCAGGAGAAGCATTAGCAGCACTATGCAGAGATAACCCACGAAAACTGGAAAACAAAAAGAAAACAAGATAATAGCAAGGTGAGAACTTTTGGTCTTCTAAAGATTTTGGCAGGCAAATCATGTCATACCAGTTAACTTCAGGTATACACCAGGATTAAGATTTGCTATTGAATATAGATCCGTATCACTGAGCTTTTAGAGATGTTGTGGGCACCTGCAACTGATGATGTCATGTTCTTTGGGTAAAACAAATTACCATGTAGCAAAATACACACTGTTGCACATTTGAACTGGATTTAAGATGGCTTTTTTTTTTTCATTCTCTCTTCCATCAGGATTATGCTCCTTAAAGCCCCCTGTGACAGCAGTGATAACACCTCATTAATAACCAGTTCAATAAAGCATGGTGCGTGGATCTAGGAAAGAGCTTAAACATGAAGTTAGATCCCATTAAGGTGAGTAGGGAGAGTTGGAAGAACTGGGAGGCCCTATCATTTATATTATAGCATCAGTACACAGATTAGACTGATGAAAAACATTTCATGCTTTACAGTTTTAAAGGAATATATTTCCAATTCCTTTTGGTCAGATTGAAATGGTAAATTTAGACCAGGGTATTTGTTTTCTTTTCTTTGTTTGCACATTTTTTGGATAGCTGATGTTATTAGGTTTGAGTTTCTCCCACCTAAAGCAATTGAAGGAAATAACAATAGTTGGCAGTTTAGCTCTTGTGCAAGAAAAATCAAAGTGGGTCTGGCATGTATTAGCACTAGTCTCTCCCCTCCAGGAGCTAGACGGGCTTTACATTCTCTGTGAGAAAGAACAGGCACTTCAGCATATGTCTCAACAGCGTATTTCTACACACCTTTATTGTGCAAAGAAATCTGCTTGGAACATAACTGGTATCTCATATAAACTTTTAATAAAAAAACAAATGCAGAGTTAAAGAACAAAAGACAATCAGTATTTTTTGTTTTGTATAAAACAACTTAAATTGAGATCCTAGAATCCTTTCATCTCTAAGTAGCAAGATAAACTTTTTCATAATTTTAGAAAAGTGCAGATGGCCATTGTTCTGAGCTTGCTGTGCAGGATAACATTTTCAAAAGTATCCACATTTTCCTTTCTGCAACATGTATCAATAAATCTGACAGTTCCAAGTACAGCAAGGCACAGTTTTCCCACAAAAAGCTGTACTGATTTGCCTCTGTCACATCATGGTTTCTTCAGAAGTCAGTTTTCCTACCTGATGGAAGCGGTAAGCCTCTTCCTCCTGCGTGCTCTTGATCACTCTCACAAAATCATTATGAGTTAATAAAAGAACAAAGTACCTGGATTTGTAAGCTTCTCTTCAAGCTCAGCCTGAGTTGTTACACTCTCGGACTTTGGAGAATGGATGATGAGAACAACAGACCCAGCGCAGCTCAGCAAACATCCCAGCTTGCCAAGAATGTTCAGTTTTTCTTTCAGTAAATAAGAAGCTAAAATGGACCTTTCACAAAGAGAAAGAAAATTGAAAGTTTGACTACATCTGTTAATAATGCTCCAACAGTGATGTCCCACATGCATTTCCCTTTTAAGGAACAGTATCAAATGTTGTTGGATCCTCAAAATGCATTTCTGACTTATCTTAGGAAAGATTCATCCAGTCTCAGTCTTAGTCAATTCTTGATGTTTCATCTCAGGAAAAAAAATCCAAACAAAAAAACCAACAAAAACCCCAACCACAACATCCCCAAAACCAACACCACCACCTCCAAAAAAACCCAAACCCCAAACCAGGCATCTGGCACCTGAGGCAGATATCTACCCGTTAACAATTTGGCTGTCATGAAGCCGCATTTTATAGGTGCTACGCAGTCATGAGATATAAGTGGTCCTTGGTTACAAAGATCACAGGGCTCAGCTCAGACACGTAGCTGACCGAAATACACAAAATTATGTGGCCTAGGATAAAATAATAGGTGTTAAGTAGAGCACCATCATTGCTGTGCTTCGTAGCGTATAAAACTAAGACAGCTGTGAAGCCCATACAAAGCAATCTGCACTCTGAAGTAGATGACCAGGGCAGTCAGAGACATAATTCAGCAGCCAACAGTAGGCAACAGAAAAATCTCCAGGCAACGCACAGCTTTGTTTTTAAAGAACTGTACTTTTTCACTGCAGTAGGTTCACAACTGTAGTTTAGCTATTCACAAAACATTTTACTTGCATATTAAACTCCTTTTAGGAACACTCACTGCCTTTTTTGTTCCCTCCCTTCACATGAGCACAACATTCAAGAAGCTGTGGGCGTGCATATGCAAGGGACTCCCACTTCAGGAAACGGGGCCAAATCCAGTCAAATGAAAATCAGCCTCAATAAACACACGTGGGTTTGCATAGCAGGGGAGAGAAAGACTGTGAGACAAAATGACAGATCTACATACTAAGGGAACTGTGAATAAGAGAGTAAGTAGAATAGTCCAGATCAACCACAGTGAAAGGAAAAAAAAAAAAAAAAAAGTGTATCTGTTCCAGGTCATAGTGATAGTTAAAGCAGAAGGTACTCAGAAGCCTTTTCTTCACCATTGCCTTCCCCCACCGCCACTTTGCTGGGGAGAACAGGAATAGCTGACATTATAACACATCATTAACACTCATAAGCCTGACATCTTCTCAGTGGACCTCCGGTGATCACTGAGTCTCTCTGACATTTTGTTAAGTAGTAACAACATTCAGATAAGAACAAGAAAAGCAAACTCTTACCCAAATGGAACGCCAAGAGCTCCCAAGGGCGTCACTAGCACAGTTGGGACTGCAGTGTAGGCCAAGAAATTCCCTATTTGACCCAGAGCCACTGTCAAGAGAACCAGAAATAAGCCTTTAAATCCCTTTGTAAGAAGAAGTAATGAAAACTTACCCAATAGTGTTTGGGAAAGACTGACCTAACTGGAAAACAGATGTTACAAATTTGCTTAGCTCTGTTAATTTTGCATTTAAACAAAATGGCTGGAATTTTTCTATATTTTTAAATTATTTTTTAATATAGGATTTATATTTGCCACACAAGAAGATCCAAGAGGGCACAGTAAATAATCTCATTTGCAACTTCTTTTAGTTGAATATAAATAAGACTATGAATTAGAAACACTCGTGTGCTACACTCAAGTATCTCAATATTACACTCAAATATTTATATGAGGCGGGCTAAAAGTATATATAACCCATGATTTCAGCTTTAGAACGTGCATACGTGTAACACGAATGCACTTGGTTATAGCTCCTAACAGCAGTGTTACCTTTTGGGGGGAAAATAAGGACAGTACTGACAAAACGAATCTACTAATGAAATACGAAGCACATGCGTAAGGGCTCTTCAATATACAGTAGACCACATCAAATTTTCACACCACTATATAACATCAAAAGTAACTCCTGACCACTGTAAAAAGAACAGATCCTTGACAAGTCACAATAAGAGCGTCACAATCTTATTTTTTTCTTTCCCCCAATAAAAGCAAATTCCAAGATGTACCACACTATTGCACATCACAGCTGTGATAAACACTTCATGCGTTCAAGTTTTCAGTTAGAAAAGAAAAGCTGGATGGTTTTGCAAGTGCTGGCAAGTTTGTAATAGGTCAACGTGATGCTCGCATAGTTACAGGGTCTGTGGTAACTGGCAAGAACCTTGAGACTGCACACAAATGACATATAGCTCAAATTTCCAGTTGAGCCATTATCAGCATTTAAAAACATTTCAAGAATCCAAGCTGTCTTTACGCTCAGGCTGGCATTGCCCTCCACTATCAAATATCGTTACCATCATCCTGGTCTTTACACCTGCAAAGCACTGTGCAAACATTAATTAATTTACCAAATTAGCTCACATTATCAGTAGAGCTGAAGACCTGTGTAACCTACAGGGAACACGAGGAGACAAACAAACTTACAAAACGGCGGAGTGTGGCAAAATTATACTAATTCAATTCACTGAGTCTTTTTCTACATGCAAGAATGAGTCAGAGAAGTTAATGAGCAGCATTTCTAGAGCACAAGAGTCAGTGATGGTCTCCTCAATTCTCCTTGCCCCTGGGAACAGAGTAACTCAGCTATCAGCCTCGGGCTTGTTTTTCAGCAGATGTACGTGGCAACTTTGGCATTATCTTCAAGGCATCTGAAGGCACTGGGGCAGATCTTGTATGGAGGATGGGATACAGCTAGCAGGCTGTGTTTCTGCAGATTACATACATTTCCAAACGTCTCTGACAAAAGGTTGCTTTTTTTGGAAGTCAGCTGCCTTAACTTTCTGTTGGAAGAACCAACACCGATCCATAAATTAGGTCTCTGAATCTTCGGTTAAACTGCACATATTGTAAGGCAACTGAACTTCCCAGAAGTTTTCACCATGTAGTATCATTCCCAGAAGTATCACCATGGAGTAATAGTAACAGTCTCTTACCACCACGAATGACAGACCAGGACTAATTAAGACCAAATTAAAAAAGGATCTCAGTAATTGTTACCATCTACCTGATGTTGAGGACCTTTGCTGCCAACCTATCGAGTCCTCTCTGGATAGAAATTCCTCTCCAGATAGAAATTCCTCTCCAGATACATCAATGCTGTAAGTCCATTCACGGCTTCAGCTCTTGAAGGCATATCAAGCTTTAAGCTTGCTGAAGGAGCGCAAATATCCCCAAAGTTATTGCAACGCAAAACTTGATGCACGCTGATATGTCTACATTAGCAAGGAGACCAGGAGTAGATCCGTACAGCAAAAGATGTCTGCTCTACGCATGTCCAGGGTTCTATGTCAGTCCAACTTCACCCTGCTCCCACAGACTGAAAGTCTATTTGCAGCTAGTGCGCGTTAGGCATGTTCCTAGGGTGCATCTTCCAGCCTCGTTTCATCTTAAAGTCCAGTTCAGGAGCTCCAACACTGCTCTACAATGTGAAAGAAAGCCCAAATCCGTGGAGACAAACAGGAGATTCGTTTCACAAGTGCATTCCCCATCTGTGATAAAACGCTAACAGATGTATCCACTATGAAAACCAGCCACATCTACGCTGCTATCAAAATCTGCACTGAAACTAATTAATTAGCCAATTAATTAGTTTAATGCTCATTGAAATACCTGTACGCATGCTGCAATGACTCTTTTGACTTTTAAAAAAAATCCCTTAGCAGAATCTGTAGCCCTTCCTTTGAAGTCTTCAGTAATCCAGTGGATCTCAAGGCCCCAAAATGGTTAGGCAGTGTTATGCCGAGTCAGTATGCCAACACAGAAATGCGTGTTCACCATCTGAACAAATATTGTGAAAACAAGTTGATAGAGTTTATGTGGGTTTTGTTAGTCATCCAAACTCCAAATTCTCTGCTTGAGAAAATTATGTCAGCTGTTATAATTTTGCCCAGATAACTGGGCATATTGCTAATTCCCCAAAACATTGCCTTTCTCTGCATCCCATAGGTGCCTACCTGGCCGTTGCTATTGCTGTTCGTGACTCTGTTGCAATTCTGAATCTATAATATCCTTAAGCAATTCCTCCCTTGGTTCCTTTGTAAACTTTGTAAACTGAGGCTTTGTTTTGAAATACCTGCACCTAGCTATGGGACAAAAGCCAACTGATACCACTCCCTTCAGCTATTTTGCCTTCATTCAATTCTGTCAACTCTTTTAAGCATAAAATCATTTTCTCTGATTCACCAAGATAAACTCCTGTAATAAAACCTCCCTTATTTTAACTCCTTCTGCTCGGAGATTCAAGACGGGAGCCTCACGAGCGATAAACAGCAGTGATTAGTGCACGGATTTATTGCTACTCAAGCAGTAGTGATCCTGGCAGAGGAGGAAGCTGACAAAGTACTACTTAAACTCAGGTTAAATTAGCTGAGGACTTCCTCTGAAGCTCTGGTGGCTTCTACACTTCTTGTGAACTTTGTCCTTCAAGGGATCTATCAGTTTCCATTCCTTTTGCATAGCTTGAAGACAAGAAAAACAGAGACTTACCTTGTTGCCACAAAACAAGGGACACAACTGGATGCATATACTTCTCAGAAACAGCACCAGAACATTTCCAAATAATTTGCAAAAGGCTGGATTAGAGTCTAAAAGTGGGGTCTGATTTTAAGCTCGTGGATAGAACTAGGGCTGAACAGCAAGAGGAGAAAGCTAGCTGCTCCCCATGCTCTGGGTTCACACCAGAGAGTGAATTGAGCCTGAGCAGAGTTTACAAAGATACTAAGAGTGAAATTACACTGATCTCATAGCAGCACCACACAAGGCTTCACATTAATCTTGTAAATTAAAAGCAAAACTGAAACTGTATCTGTCAAACCAGAAATCAAAAAGGATTTTTTTTTTTTTTTTAATTGAAGCTGGCTAAGTGCTTTCTGATCTAAAAACGTAACGTGCTCAATGAGCCCTTTTGTGCAGAGCGACAATTTCTTATTCAGCTTTGACTTTTATTAGAAACTGAGCGGACCAGCGCAATCCAGAGACACAAACGGTGTAGGAACCCAGAGTCAGAGCAGCGCACGGCTGCCAAGGGCTGCAAGTACCAAATGGTTCAGAAATCTGGACAGACTTGGGATTGTCCCAGCTCTTTGCCTTCTCAAACACCATCAGAGACAGCAGCCAGAGTGAGAGTTTACTGAGGGTGGGGTATTTCTGAGGGATGGGAATTTCATGACAAGTGAGCGTGAGATTCAAGATGAGAACCCAGATTTCCTGATGTCTCATTTCACCATCTAACCGCAACTTCTCCCTTCAAATAAAATCAGACCTTTTAAGATACTTACTTGCAATAGTGCCAGACCACCATACTATATCTGTTAAGTACGAAGTACCTGAAAGAGGAAGTATAGGAAGACGTATTAGAAAAATATGAAATTGCAATATTGGAACTAGAAAATAGAATAATTTCAACAGTCTCAACTATTAAGGACCTTCATCTTCACCGTTTTCTTCAAGGCAACTGAGTGGGAGGAAAACAAGAGAGAAGGTGCTTGGATTTGGCCTAAGTGTCCAAGTTGGACCTTCTTAAGACAACATATTAAGTCAGAAGTTCTGGTTTCCAGTGAAGTACCTATGCTAACGTGGTTAGCGTCCAAAATGTCACCAAATGCTTCTGAGGGTGCCACTTATACATACATGTTAGGACCACTACTAAGAGAATGGGAAACCTATGGAAACAAAACATGATTTGGATCTATTAGTTTGGTAATATAGCCTCAATGAAATTGTATCGGAGAAACTGTAGCAGAGAAATTGTTTCAACATGCAGTTTTGGCAGTACCATAGCGTGGACCAATCCTCCTGCATTTGAGCATTGGAAAATGCTTCTGAATTCCTGACATACTGCCACGTTTCAAAGAGAAGAGTAAAAACCCTGGATTGTCCCTTAGTGTCTCCTAAGCTCAAGGATGATTATTTTCATCGTCAGATTATAGGCTCTTGCCTTGGGATGCACCAGGGGAGCCTGTGCACCACATTTTATAAGTTCTGCTTCTGTGGAACATCAAGGCTAATGACCACTTGCTAAACTAAAGCCTGGCCTCCACAAGCACGACCTTGGCATCACGCTATGCTCTTACATTCTGCTCCTCTTTCTAGCAATTCAGCTCTGCATTTATTTGGTAAGATGCTCTCTCAAGAGCTGCTGGAGCAATAGGCAATATTGTACCTACCCTGAAATCCCAAATGAAAGAAAAACACAGTAATCTATAACTCTGGAGACGTATAAAATATTAAGTGCTTGGAAATCACACTACATAATTGAAATGGATGGAAAATGACTAATGAAAATGGCCAGCTTTAGAGTGGGTGTAATCATTTTTTAGACTTTTGTTATTGCATATAAAATAAAAACACTGTTGGGGGTACAAATTATAGAAAATATTGACTCAAGTAAGATAACTTTGCAAAATATTTGTCACCCGCTGCTGTTTCTAACTAAGCAAGGATTACTAATTGCATTGATACTCTATTATTGATTCAATAGAGAAGACAGAGAAGACTTGAAAAGTGCCTCCTTTTTAATTATACAACACCTACCGAAGCCAATGGAAAAAAGACATCAGCGGACACTGACGATCTCAGGCTTACAGATTCGAGGCAGAACCTCACTGCTTCACGACATTTAATAGAGAGAAACAGAAGGTATTTGCCCGGATGTCTCCACACTGAGCACGGCAATAGGAAATACTATGAATCGCTCGGCAAGATACACAAATAAACATCAGTAATGGCTTCAAAACAGGATGTTTCACAGCTGCCAGCACTGAGAAGGCAGGCACACACCCATCACCCACTTAACCCAGTGCTCCACTGAAAGCTGTTCAGGAGTAATTAGTCCCAACTATACTGCAAAATGGAAACTTCTCCAACTGCCTTGGATGGAAAGTCATTCCTCTCTCGCACGTTTTCTCATTGTTTCCCTTTCTGCTGGTTTTGGCTGGGATAGAGTTAATTTTCTTCACAGTAGCTAGTATGGGGCTATGTTTTGGATTTGTGCTGGAAACAGTGTGGATAACACAGGGATGTTTTCGTTACTGCTGAGCAGTGCTTACACAGAGCCAAGGCCTTTTCTGCCTCTCACCCCACCCCACCAGCGAGTGGGCTGGGGGTGCACAAGGAATTGGGAGGGGACACAGCCGGGACAGCTGACCCCAACTGACCAAAGGGCTATTCCACACCATATGACGTCATGCTCAGCATATAAAGCTGGGGGAAGAAGAAAGAAGGGGGGACGTTCGGAGTGATGGCGTTTGTCTTCCCAAGTAACTGTTATGTGTGATGGAGCCCTGCTTTCCTGGAGGTGGCTGAACACCTGCCTGCCGCTGGGAAGTAGGGAATGAATTCCTTGCTTTGCTTTGCTTGTGTGTGCGGCTTTTGCTTTACCCATTAAACTGTCTTTATCTCAACCCGTGAGTTTTCTCACTTTTACTCCTCTGATTCTCTCCCCCATCCCACTGGGGTGGGAGTGAGCGAGCGGCTGGGTAGGGCTTAGTTACCCACTGGGGCTAAACCATGACACCTTACAAAAGAAGATTTGTATTTATGATGCAAATATCTCTCTGTGGACAATAAAAATGGATTACAGCCATCTTGGACAGAAAGAGAGACTATGCTTGCAAAACAGTAGTTTGTCTGAGGCCCTGTAAGGTCATTGCAGGAAAGGCAAAATAAACTTGTTGGATCAGGCTGCCAGCTGGTAGTAACATAGTTGCAAGCTTGCTCTGCTCCACTGCATCCACCCTGAACACGCTAGATGCAGTGGGCACTGGAAATGCACTGCTGCTCTAACCATCTCAAATACATGTATGTGTATATATATATTTACATACACACACATATGCAGAGAAAATACCTAGCATGTCCTGGTCACTAAAAAGGATTTTTCATAGGAAAGAGTTCCCAGAACCTATGGACACATGTTCACACACGCCCAGACACCATCACCTGCAAAACAAATGGCTATTGACCGCAGAAAGACAATTAAAAGGTCTCATGCAACCTGTGTTTACAACTTTCCCCTCACATAAAAGCATGATATTAAGAACAAATAAATACATTGCATTTTCCTATATTCAAAGCATCAAGATGCAACTAGCAAAATGCTATTCAGAGGCTGCATGCTTTGGGGAGCTCCAATTTCAGAAAAAAATACAGAAAATCTTCATACTCTGTGAATTTACAGCTTTGTTTTGGCTAAACTGTCTAGATAGCACAGTCAGTTCCTGAACACGTTCATCTCAGAAAACAGTAACGAGGTATGGGATTTCAATATAAAAAAAAAAAAATTAGTGATTCTATGTAATTGGTTTGCCTTTCTTTTCTACAAAAGGAAACCACCACGTGACTGATGTAACTTGCGGTGTGCGTCCGTGGAAGGCTAGAATAAACAAGCCACAAGACGTGCCGGTGCTATTCACGGCACAAAACTCTCTGAGCCGGAGAAACGGATAGAAAAGTCCCACAAGTACATGAAAATACCGCAAGAGAAACCTATGCACGCACACACACCTACACACGGGTCCCCGGGGCTGTATTACAGCGTGACGGAAGACCAGCGAGCAGGCCGTACACCGGGAAGCCGTTGCTGATGACTACGCT